TGCCATGGGCCACATGGGCACAATCACATGCCAAGGGCCACATGGGCACAATCACATGCCATGGGCCACATGGGCACAATCACATGCCATGGGCCACATGGGCACAATCACATGCCATGGGCCACATGGGCACAATCACATGCCAAGGGCCACATGGGCACAATCACATGCCAAGGGCCACATGGGCACAATCACATGCCATGGGCCACATGGGCACAATCACATGCCAAGGCAAGGGCCACATCCTACGACTACAGTACGAGTCTGGCGGGGGCACTCTGGCGCCAGCACTTGCACTCCTGTCAGACATGCGTGTCGTACCTAAGGACCTTGGACTTGGTCCTTACCTTAGTCGTGGGCATACTCTACTGCACAGTCAGCATGGTCAGAGACAGAGTCCATCCGACCTAGGCTAGGCTGAATCGTAGGACGTAAAGGTGATTATAATTTGATAATTATGTGAGATTATACTGTCACATACATGTATACAATGTACATGTACATGTAGGCCTGGGACATTGGGAACATACAATCAAGGTTCAATCATGTAGATCTACATGTACATAATGCTAGCACTCACGTGGCTCAGCTAGCAAGAATGCATGCAGAGCATGCATAGCAGATCGTACATGTACATGCACGATGTATATGCACATGTAATGATGTAGATCTACCCGAGACTACCACTGTACTGTACCAGCGGCGCTAGCGCTACTGTACTACTGACAGCTGACAGTGCTGTAGACTAGTCGACTGTAGACTAGTCGACTGTAGATATTTTCGTTGCTGTTTGTCGGATTGTGACTTTGTGTAGCTACAATGTAGCTGCTCTTGTTTTTCTCGAGTACTGTTGCGTTTTCTATTGATTCTTCTTCTTTTTTTACTTCTATTTTATTTTTTGTATTTTCATCCATGCACATCTCACATCTTTTCAAAGCATTCGTCTAGGGATTGAGTTGAACCTTTCACACAACCTTGTTACATTTGCCTTGAGTTTCTTTGGATTATACGTTTTTCAAATTTTCATTTTGATTTCATCGTCGAGTTTCATCCCTTGTATCTTTGGTTTTCTTCCTTCTCTCCATGTCGTATAGCCTTATAGGGCTTGAAAGTGATGATGTCAAAAACGGCCAGGGAGTAGTAAGTTGACATCAGATTTCTATTTTGGATCCACTAAGGTATGACTTTGCTATTGCCTCAGTATGTGGGTGCATAGCAACCCACTCATGTCGTATGCAGGGGAGAATTTTACTTCGCCACCAGTTGTAACCCCGCCCCCACTAGCCAAATCAGTCAGTTTCACTGGCTACATCACCTTGCTGTGAGTAAGACGGCTTGAAATGTGCTTGGATCCATACAAAAACTGGATCCAAGTGGATCCAGTTTTTGAATTTTTGAAATTGTTGCTATGCTGTGACGTACATGTAGCATTTTCAAGTTTGAATAAATCCATTAAGTTAATTATGTGTTCTGTTGTACTTGTTTTTAGCTGTAATACTATAGTAATAGTAATACATGTACTACTTCAGTACTTGCTAGTCGCGTCTGTGATGGCTGGCCTCAGTGGCCTGGCCTGACGTGACAGTCTAACCAGTGGTTCTATTTATAGCTTCTCTTGTTCACCTTCCATATATAGTAGTACTAGTAGTAGTCCATACCATCCAAGGCGATGACAATGATCCACTAGCACTGAGTCTGTACTAGCATAGTTTTCTGTGTGCGTGTCAGTCTACGCCCTGCTCACTGTGCTCAGCCAGCTTTGCACTACACATACTCATTACGACATTAGTCAGTGCACGACACTCTGTGCAAGTCCCACTGCACTACACTGCACTACACGCAGACCATACATGTCAGTCTAGTCCGTCATGTACATCTACATCTGATACAGTCATGTACAATGACCATACCGTACCACGCATCCGTGTCCACCACGTACTAGTAGTACTTGGTCTACGCTGCATGCATGCTAGCTCACCTCACTGTCCTCAGTCCTCACTCACTCACGCGTCCGAGTCACTTCATGCATGCCCCACCACTGTATGTCCGTCACACGTCACTCTTGAGTTTGAGTGGGTCCTGAAAGGCTGAATCCTGATTCCTGAGTGAGACTGTCTGTAGTGTAGAGTGTACTAGTACTAGTGTAGCGTAGGACGTGGTAATGCACATGCATGTGCATTCTACCTGATTGTATGCATGCCTGTTGTCAGTGTTGAGTGTTGTAGCAAATGCCTATGTTACTAGTATGTAGCTCCACACACGGGCTGACTCAGACTGACAGCCTGTGGCTGTGGCTGTGGTAGTACTGACACTGCCAATACTGGCTGGCAAGTGGCATGTACACTCAGTACTGTCTGTACGTTGACGTCTTTGGGGAGCATTGGACTTCGACTTATTTTTCTAGTGAGCCCGTTGTGTTCAACTCAACTGGTTTGCGCACATTCCGCCAAAGTGTATCTCTAGCTCTCGAGCTAGGCAGCTCTACCATTCCTGTCCCTTCCAGCCGCAGGCAGGCACGGTCTCTCTGAATCACGGAGCACATTTTGTGTTCTAGCGGCGGGAAAAAGGACTGAGAGTGAGAGTTGGCCATCCTTGGGTACTCCTCGAGGTTGCGACTGTACGAGCCGATCTGCCACGATAGAAGGAGGGAGTCGCTGCTTGCCAAGCCCGTCAAGCATTTGGTTGTGCTTGGTTCGAGGGATACTTTCAGCTCAGCGTGATAGATCCACTCGCACCAGTTGAAGCTGGTTCCGCCCGTATTAACAGTACTCCTGCTACGAAGGTAAGGACCGCCATGTCTTAGCGCGCTGCTCGACGTAAGGGCCGTGTATCTTTCTCGCTAGGCCAATACGCAATAGTTCAGGTACATGCTCAGTGCGATGCTTTCTCGTAGCATCGATATTCATTGTCGCTGTTGCACTGGATTGTGGCGGTGCTTGAGCCCGCTATGGTTGAGCCTGTACTCGTGTCGTCTTGTCCGTTGTCGGTGCGTTCAAGGCCGAGTTCTGGATCCTGCAGTCGTGTCTCGCGGCGGCTGAGCTGTGTTGTGGCTTGATCCTCGCCGTGGCACTGTTGCAAATGGCTAGGAAGCGCGTGTGGTATTTGTGTGTGTGTGTGTGTGTGTGTGTGTTTTTTGTGCGTTTGTTCCTTGTGTTTCAACTTTCTTCGACTGTATGAGCAACTGTAAGCTGATGCGACTCCGAGCCGCTAGAAGGTATTCAAAGAGAGAGAGAGACTGTCTGACTTTGGGAATAATCATCGTGCCCGTGTGTTGGTATGATGGGGAGGAGTGCACCTTTTCGTCGACGGGCACGCGCTGTGTCTGGGGCTCTCTTTCTCTCGAGTAGAAACACAGTAATTCCGCTTGCGTATGGGTTCGCGCACTGCGCTCTAGTGAAACGAATATGGCGTCGCTGTGGGTTGTAATACTCAGTACTGTGATCACCGCAGGGTAATTTTTTGTTCATCGCAATGGTCATTATTCTCTCTATCTCTCTTACTCTCTCTCTCTCTCTGATCCACTGTGCGCGAAATGCGGTGCGCCGTCAGTTTTACAAAAATAGTGTTAGTGTGTTTTTCCCGACATCTCTTGCCTACGATTTGTCCTAGCCTAGGCCATGGCCTGGGTTTCTTTCTTTCTTTCAGGGTGAATGTGTGCGGGTGCGTGGGTTGATATTTTATATTATTTTTGTTAGTCGAGTTGTTCTCACTTCTCGTTCAGTTGGGACTTGCGCGCTTTGCATTCAGATTCAGACGATTGACAGCAGATTTGAGGTGACAGGTTGCGAATTCACGGGAGCAGTCTTCAGGTCTTCGTCAAGACTTTTGTTGTGTGTTGTTGTCCTTTTATTCGTGGGCCTTTCCTTTGATTGAATATTGAGACCAGGCTCCGCGGAGCACATTGCACGTCTGTTCTCAAATATATTTGCACAGTCATACATCGTTGTGTATCGTGGTTTAGATTCGTGGAGACTAGGAGTGCACTAGAGTAGGAACATCATGGCTTGTGGTGGTGGCGCTGGTAATCACTTCCTCGTCTTTTTGTGCAAGCGTGGCGTGCCATCGCTCCTTGTCGCCCTCGAACGTAGGAGGATTGGCGTGCAGGTCGATACGCTTGTGACAGCTTCGTGGGACGTTTAGGATTCTTCTGCGTGTACGTCCTGTTCCTTGGTCGAAACGAAACGCGATTTATTTTGTGTATTTTGTAGATGCCAATGTAAATGTTGTAACTATTCAACACAACAGTTTGTTTCTCGATCGGCTCAATCTCATTCTCCCTACGTCCATTGGTTGACGGGGTGCCTTGATCTAGCCCTCCACTGGTGTCTACCCGACGACAGTCTAGTTGATGGTTTCGTGCTCCCCTCTCGTCCCCAACACAGTCAAGTAAAAATAGATCAGCACTCGATATGTCTGACGTATGCTGCTGGCAGGTACGTCTGCGGACGGTGTTAGCATTATCGTAGACCAGAGACCTTTGTCTGGCTTTGAGTTTGAGTGTGGCCGTGTGCAGTACGGCATGCACCTTGCTTTTGCCAGTTTTGGCTTCGTTTTCATCCCCAGTCGCCAGGTCGAGTCGCTGGGTGACTTCGCCTCGTCTGGCCAGCCTGCGAGCGATCGCTTTTCAGCTGACCACTTCATAATAATTCTGTGTGCCTTTCGCGCGCTCGCCTGATGATCCGCTCTGAAACACCCAGCCGGCGCTATTCAGCCATTACAATATGTCGGTGCAGAACGTGGACCACCATGATCTGAAAACAAGCATCACGCTGCAACTCCTAGACTCCTCTACCTCTCGGCAAATCACAGAATCTAAACCGGATCTCTTGCCCGCTTAGCTAGATCTACGCGTAGCAGCTGATTATTGTTGCTCGGCGAAAAAATCTGAAAGAGGGATCGAGAAAAATCATCTGGCTTGATTCACTGCATGCAAAAGCTGTAGGCTAGTGAAGCTAGTAGTAGTAGTAGTAGTAGTAGCAGTAGCACATGGCAAAAGCTCATCCATTCTTTTGCGTATGTCCGCTTCACTGGGGTGCTGTCAACTCGCGATAGTACACTGCGCCAACACAATGACTGGTGGTTGACGAGCGTCAGTTGTGGCTCAAAAATAGATTGTGGCTGCCCGATTTGCGCACATCGCTGATCCTCAGGAACTAACTAACAATACTAACTAATTCCTCCCCGTGTAGCGGTTCCCCTCGCTGTATGGTGGTGTAGGTTTTTGTGGAGTGCGGTAGCGGCGTAGCGGTCTCTGCGCCCAATCGTATGACCAATTGCAACGGAGAAGCAAGAGTGCGCTGCCTCCGTTGTACTCACAGAGAAGCCGTAGTCGTTCTGCACGCTGCATCGTTGAAAATTTGTTCGCTTGGATGTCTCGCTAGTCCCGGCAGTCCGTCTCGCTTCACCAATCGAACTCGACTCGCGGATTCGACAACAGAACGAAGCGTTTGGCCAGTTTGTGATTAGCCGCGAGCAGAGGAAAAGAGCCTCCGTGCTCAGTATGAGCGAATACGCGTAAGTGGAGCCATCTCCGCCTGCTCCTAGGAATAAATATTTGAGTGTTGTACCAAGCACTCTCGACGCCTTTGCTGACCAGCATCGTCCAAATCGACCGGCTGCAGAAAAGTAAACTGGTCCAGCGCTCGCTAATGGGCGATAGTTGCTCGCCAACTAGCGCTCTAGTTTGGGAAGCTCACGAGAGATAAAGAATGTGCGCGATCATTGGTTATTGGAATTGGTATGAATGACCGTCCAGACCTATTTGTGACAGCGTAATATTATGGGATTGAAGCCCGAACGCGGCGGTGGTTTAGCACAAGTAATTGAAGAATGATGTCTATTTTGGTACGTTTATTATAAGGTGCTCCAACAAGCTCATGGCGAAATCTCAAGTACTTGCACTCTGTTTGTTTATGGCGCACAATTGATACTGTGGAATCGTTTTTCCAGTGGTGGCACGCCAATTTGGGTCTCATTGGGGGCAATATTATGTGTGTGTGTGTATGTGTCTGTGTGACTGTGTGTGTATGTGTCTGTGTGACTGTGTGTGTATATTAATAAATATTTTAAATATTGTGTGTGTGTGGTGTGTGCGCGCACACGTGTGGTGTGTGTGTGTGCATGGTGCATGCATAACGGTCTGTGAAAATCATGCGTAACGGGGATGGGTGAGAGTGCTACATTTGTAGTGTCCGTGTGTGGCATTTGGGTTGGTAGCTCAACAGGCAACAGTTAACAACTTTCTCACAATGAGAGGATAGAAGCTTAATAATCATAATTATTTGTTGTTGTGTGTGCATGCTTGTGTATGTATGCGCGTGCGTGTGTTCATATGTGTTTGTGCACGCATGTGTGTATGTGTTCTCGTGCGTGACTTTGTTCATAAAACGGAGAACAGACGCTAATCTGGATCCCTCTAAGTTAATCAAGTACGCCAACTCGCAGGGTGAGGCATTGACCGCTGCTCTTCCGGCCATGGCAGACGGCGGCCATGGTTTCCACGGTAAGACGGTGTGGTGTTGCTTTGCAATGCAGCTCCTGCTGGTTTCTCTATGGCTCGGTGTGTGTGTGTGTGTGTCTCTCTGTCTGGCTGGCTGTCTCTGTTCTGTCCTTTTTCTGGCTGTCACTCGCTGTCTCTTTGGCTGTCTGAATATCTGTATCTCTCTCTCTCTCTCTCTCTCTCTCTCTCTCTCTCTCTCTCTCTCTCTCTCTCTCTCTCTCTCTCTCTCTCTCTCTCTCTCTCTCTCTCTCTCTCTCTCTCTCTCTCTCTCTCTCTCTCTCTCTCTCTCTCTCTCTCTCTCTCACTCACTCTCTCTCTCTCTCTCTCTCTCTCTCTCTCTCTCTCTCTCTCACACACACTCTCTCTCTCCTTCTCTCTCTCTTTCTGTCTTTCTGTCTCGTGTGTGTGTGTGTACATGTCTGTTTCTGTGTCTCTCTGTGTCTAACCCTGTGTCTCTACCTGTGTCTCTGCATTTCTCTCTCTCTCTCTCTCTCTCTCTCTCTCTCTCTCTCTCTCTCTCTCTCTCTCTCTCTCTCTCTCTCTCTCTCTCTCTCTCTCTCTCTCTCTTTTGTGGTGGGACGGCCTGTTAACAGAAAGTCTACTGCATTTGTGCCCGACGCATTGCACAACGCTGGCACCCTTGACCTATTCACGTTACATCACTGTACATTTTTACATGTGTATATCCAGCAGAATCCGCATCCCTTCCCTGGTGTCAAAAGCTGTGCATGGCGGAGCACCGAATAGGCGTGTTGGGTCGGATTTCATCAACCTAGTCCGTACTGCGCTGCACTCTTACTACCACTCCGTGTGCACACACAATCACAGTACTGTCAGTTGCGGAACAACTGGGGGTCAGCCTCCTAGCCTAGACCGTTCCTTTTTTCATGTATTCAGTCTATGCGCAGTGGAGACACCAAGCATACATTGGTTTAGCTGTGCCTTGTCAAATCCTAGCCTGTTTGTTCTTCGGCGCTTCGTTCTTCGGCACCCGATAGTGCTGTGTAGCTGGTACTACAGTAAAACCTGTAACTAAAGACCGCCGTGACTAGCGACCAGCCTGGTACTACAGTAAAACCTGTAACTAAAGACCGCCGTGACTAGCGACCAGCCTGGTACTACAGTAAAACCTGTAACTAAAGACCGCCGTGACTAGCGACCAGCCTGGTACTACAGTAAAACCTGTAACTAAAGACCGCCGTGACTAGCGACCAGCCTGGTACTACAGACCAGGCACGGACGGTCTCACATTAATGCGTGGTTGTGCAGTGCAAACCTCTAACTAAGGACCACCTGCCACTAAAGACCGCTTTCTCTGGCCCCAAGGGGGGGGGGGGTGGTCGTTAGTCACAGGTTTCACTCTACTTGTAAGTCGCACTGTGGTGAACTGTGTGCTGAGCGACAGGTTCTTGTTCTTGCACACACTTCTGACAATGCAATTCCCGGGTTTAGGTGGTTACCGTGGTGATACTGAGCCGAGGGATGACGGTGGACCACTGCAGAACGGCGGCAGCAGCAAGCCTGCTAAAGGAGGAGGTAGGTTGGGTCAGAGTGTGTGTGGCGTCAATTTCCCCCTAGGTATCGTACGTGAGTGTGTGTGCGTGTGGTGTGGTGTGTGTGCGTGTGACTGTGTGTGTGTGTGTGTGTGTGTGTGTGTGTGTGTGTGGTGTGACTGTGTGTGTGCGTGTGCGCGCGCGCGCATGTGTGTGTGTGTGTGTGTGTGTGTGTGTGTGTGTGTGTGTGTGTGTGGCTTAACTTTGTTGTTAGGTTCCGTTGTATACTCACTACTGTGCATTGGCGCCCGTAAGCGGTTCTGGAATTCCACTCACTTATCAATATGACTTGTATAACTTGAAGCGGCCACAGACTGCTAAATTCTCTCCAAGTCCCCCTACCATGCCTCAAGATTGCAAAACAACAACATCTCGCATTTTCTATCGTCTCCTTACTCACACTCAAAGGATGTTCACAATTCAAACTTCAGTCAGGATAGCTGAGGTCCAAGCGCTTGTTTTTGATACGCATGGATTACTCTCAAGGGAAATCCCCAGCATGCACGAAGTGAGGAGCAAAACGTTTGAGTAGATCGCCTGCAAGTGAAATTTGAAATTTCCAGCTGTTCATATCGTCGGCGCTCAACCATACATTGGCCTATCGTTGCATCAGTGGAAAGCTGAGTTCGCTACCTTTCCAACGGTGCATCATTCGTGAGAATCCCTTGAGTTACGAGAGTTTGAACACTCGTCCATATGCCGTGCTGTGTAGTGTACATTGCACAGTTTTGGTGCGTCGCGTACAGTCAAATTCGCTTATAACGACACTCGGCGGGGCATCACAAAGGTGTCCTTATTCGCGAAGTGTCGTTGTACCTGAAGGCTCATTATATGTATTACAGTGGTATGGCACTTTGCTCTGGGCATGGAAATTCTGTCGTTATTCACGAATTGTCGTTATATCCGCAGTCGTTATTAGGCCACACCGTTTTTTATCTGTGTTTCGCGTCCCTCGCGCGCATGTATTTCACAGCCGGAGTTTTAAAAAAATTTGAAAAAAAAAACGAAACAAAAAAATTTAGAAAACTTTTATGCAAACCCAGAAAACCGGAAAATGTAACCCAAAAGGAAAAAAAACGGAACATGATTGTTACACATAACTATTATGTTGGCATCAATTTTGTTCTATTTATCGCATGATTGTACTCAGCTCACACACATGTACATGTACATGTACGTGTGTGTGTGTGTAATAAGCTGGGCCGAAAGTCACACAATCATCATGCCGCCTATGTTTGGACCACAAGCATGACAGAGGGTATACACTCATGTATTCTTGAGTAATAATAATATTCATGTACATGTCAATGTGCATGAACTGTGCCGCGTCGCTTCACTGTACACAAATGCAATGCACGTACGCTGTTTGTTTTTTTGGATGGCTTTTTTATTTTTTTGCCCTCCCTCATTGATTTCATCGAATAAGGTGACGCGAAACATAGAAAAAAACGGCGTGGCCTTAGCGAAGTTGACTGTATACTCGATGCTGGCCATCCAGGGTACATTCTGAGCGCCGCGCGTACGCAACGCTGGCGTGCAAAGGGTTAATTGGTATATCTGGTCTTACAGTAATCCCGTGATTGTCTGTACTGTGCGCAGGATCAGGCCAGAACACGATCAGTGATGGCACCCGCTCGAAACTCAAGCAATGCCTGAAAGGCCGCCTTGAGGAGAAGATATCCGCAGGTGGTGGAACTGGTGGTGCGAGCGGGTCGGCTAGAACCGACAATGGTGTCGAGTTGCAGGCCGGTGGAGGGCCTGCTCTGGCGCAGCACGGTGAGATTGCAATGCTGATAGGATGGCTCTGGGCTACATGTTCAGTAAAACCTGGTTTAAGCGACCACCCCACTGTGCAAGCAAAAGCGGTCGTTAAAGCCAGGTGGTCTTTAGAACCAGGTGGTCTTTAGAACTAGGTCCTACAGTGTCCGTGTAGAAATGTCCATGCATGGAAAAACGGTCGCTTAGAGCAGGTGGTTGCTACACCTGGTTTTACTGGACAATGCTTTCACAATGGCAGCGTGAACAAGGCGAGGACGCACTGTACGGGAAACCGTGCCGCTGGCTACAACCACAAGCCGGTTGGTAGAGGGTTTATGGTTGTGGTCAGGGGCGCAGTTTCCCGTACAGTGCGTCCTCGTCTTGTTCACGCTGTCATCGCGAAAACATGCATCAAGCAGGTCATGGACCTCATTTGTTTCCACTACCCCTGATTCTATCTTCCGCAAGCGGATCCGACGAAGCATTTCGTACGCATTTCAACCAGTTTGTACACAAAATCATGCACCGGTATGCGGATCGCGAGGTCCGGTTATGTTTTATGCTGTATGCGTAACATATGCTGCACATCGGTAACCAGCGATTTTCGTCCGGATGGCGAGGGATCCGGCTAAAAGAGGACCGGATAAACGAGGACCGGATAAACGAGGACCGGATAAACGAGGACCGGATAAACGAGGACCGGATAAACGAGGACCGGATAAACGAGGTCTGACTCTACTAGAGTATGTTATGGGCACATTCAGCCGTAGTATGCCACTGGACTGCTGGCAACAGTTTTTGATTTGTGTATGATGTGGCAGGTGAACATGGCCTCGATGTTAGCAAGCAGCACGTGTTGGTGGCTAAAAGGTTGGTTTGGTGATCACCTGACCAACCGGACTGGTTCCAGCGGGTGTATGCCACGACTAGTGCAGCGATTTTGACCCATGTCACTGCGCTGTCTGCGTGTGCGTGTGTGTGTGTGTGTGTGTATGGTACATGGTGTGTGTGCGTGTGTGTGTGTGTGTGTGTGTGTGTGTGTGTGTATGGTACATGGTGTGTGTGTGTGTGTGCGTGTGTATGACACATGGTGTGTGTGTGTGTTGCCTGTGCAGGCGCTGCTAGCGGCGGTATTGGTTTGCCGGTAGGAGCGGTGTCAGCTGCCACAGCGTCCACACACCAGCCAATGCTGAGTGGCGGCGGAGGTGGCGGAAGCGGTGTTGTATATCAGGCCGCGCAACCAGGCCATCCGCACATGGTGATGCAGGAGATGCCAGCCGGCGCTACGCAAATGTGGTGAGCGCTGCTGGCAGAAATTGTTGCGGTGTGCGTGAGTGGGGGGTGTCTGTGTGAGTGTGTGTGCGCGCGCATGTGTGTGTGTTTGCGTGTGTACGTGCATGTGCACCTGGTGCGTGTCTGGGAATGGCAACCCTTTGCCGGTTCTCACCGCACCTGCATGAGGCGATCGAGACCAGAACTATTGCTCTGGTTGCTCCCGTAACCTTCACATACTCGCATCAGTTTGCCATGTGACTAAATTTGTGCAGAAAGTGATCACGTGGACAGTGGAACCAACATGGCCACCGGCGGCATGTGACCAATAGATGCAGGGGTTGAGTGGAGTTGGAACCAACATGGCTGTCCTGTATGGTCATGTGATACGATGTGAAGCCACCCTATACACATGTCTAGTCCATATTTGGACAGGTTTCCCCCCACATCCGAAGGGTGTACCCACCATAGGTAATACTGTGCTTTGCCAAAGTCAGAGTGGATCCAGCTAGACCCAAACCTCATTGTCAGGGTCCGTCTGATCTAGGACATTAGCAGCTTCAATTCATGTTCAGTGTACCATTATGAAGTTCATCCACCGTTCGTAGAGGGCTCAATTTTCCAAAGGCAAAGAGCGGAATACGCAGACAGAACAACGAGCAGTTGCTGTTTCATAACTCTGAGTTTCACAAACTGAATCGATCATCAGACGAAAATATTCGTCTGATGATCGATTCAGTTCGTGAAACTCAAGAGTTATGAAACAGCAACAGTTTACTGCTCTTTCGTCTGTCTGTGCATGTGCAGTGGACAGTGAACATACATGATTGGCCACTCTGTTTGACCTCTTGACCTGCCTTGTGATTTTTCAAGTGCCCACTTGCGTAGAAAACTTGGAAGGTCAAGAGGTCAAAATGTACGCATGTAATGCCTGTGTTCTTGACCCTAGTACTAGGACAATAGAGCGGTTCCACGTCACATGACCATACGAGCCAGATATGTTGGTTCCATCTCCACTCCACCCCTGCATCTATGGGTCACATGACGTCGGTGGCCATGTTGGCTCCACTGTCCACATGGCATGATCACTTTCTGCACAAATTTCACTCACATGACAAACTGATGTGAACGCCACTCTACACCGGCATGGATATCTGCCCTCACGTCTTGCAACAATCAGGCTGATATCGGCAGATATTGACCTAGTGCTCTGTGGACAACACAGGGACGTCGGACACAGTACGGTCAGTACGCAATTGACCTTGCCATTCTTCGCCATTAGTCAGTATTTTATTAATATTTATTACCCCTATTACTTTGTAGGGATGTGCACATAGTATTAAAAAATAAAAAGTCACCCCGTGAATGGAGACTAGGCACTTATTTGACCTCAAAATTTTCGAAAATGTCATCAGAGTGACCCGCTCCCCGACAAGTAGATTTTGCCTCAGATGGCTGACCGCACTATTCTAGGTCACCGTCCGATGCCCCTGTAACACGGTACCTGCGTCACACCCAGAGGGTACTTTTATCTGAGGTATTGCTGTGCGTATTCTGTTCCACCGCTTCAGGAGCTGCATCTGCGCTTTGAACCTTGAAGGGTGGTGGCGTTCCTAAGGATGCGGAACACTTGCCCCCTAGCCGAGTACGACGCGAACCGTGACATTCTTTCTCTGTTCTTGTGTTCTGCGTTCAGGGTTCAACAGTATCCGCAGCAGCACCCGCAGCATCAGCAGCAGCCGCAACTCATCCAGGCCCACCCCGGCGGCGTGCACACGATACCGTCCGGCCAGCTGGTCTACCAGCAGGCCACCCCGCCACAGCAAGCATCGGCAGTGGCGGCTGCCCAGGCTGGTGCTGCTGCCACCGCGGTGCAGTCTCCGGGCGGCGTAACCCTGGTACCGATGCAGTTCGCGCCAGCGGCCATGCCCGGCCAGGTGGCTGCACCGTCCGGTCCCACCTTACATCCGTCGGGTCACATTCATCTGAGACGCATATGTAAGAAGGATGATAGCCAGAACAAAACTGATGGGGGGGGGGGGGGGCGGGCAGGGATCATTGGCCCCAAAATTTGGTGATTTTTACGATTACAACAAGTCATCCTACCTGCGTGGGTACAATCTGGTCCGTGAATTTTTCGGAAAGACATACGGCACTGAAATACCCATTACCGCTGCCGACTACTGCAACCACTATTTCATGATACCTATCAACTTGAACCTTGACCATCAAGTGGACAATCAAAAGATGAGAGGCAATCTGTCTATCGACTATCAGTTTTCAACCGTCGCCAACTCTCCCATCAAGTTGCCAAGTGATCAATCCACCTCCATCAAGGTCAACATGATCTGTCTTGATCAGTACCTGTACACCATTGACAAGGAGAGAGGTGTCAAGATAAATAGAATCTGTGTTGTATTTGAACGTTTTGGTTGTCAACGTTACAACCTTCACCAGTCCCCCATCGAGTCCATCACCCATTAGCTCTCTTTTCACCACCACCACCTCCTCGTACGCCACAAGTTGAGCCTGTAGTGGCTGTTGTGGTGGTGGTGGTGGTGCTGGTCCTGGTTCTTGCTGCAGCTCATCCTCATCATCATCGTCACTACTTAATATTATCTGTGGTATCAGATCTTCCATATCCGAATCGAGGCCACTGTCGTGTGCATCAGCCATCTTCTTCCGCCATATATTACATCACAGTCCAGCAGATACACAAATTAATGACTATTAACGACTGCGAAGTGCTGACAATATAACAAGGCCACGGAAGGTAAGAACATTTCTGACACTTGCCTGCAAACTTGCCTGCAAACTTGCCTGCAAACTTGCCTGCAAACTTGCCTGCAAACTTGCCTGCAAACTTGCCTGCAAACTTGCCTGCAAACTTGCCTGCAAACTTGCCTGCAAACTTGCCTGCAAACTTGCCTGCAAACTTCTCGGCCTGTGGGCACACGGGTGGGCTGAAGCAGCAGGTTGAGCCATGGTGCGCAACGCATCGAATCACTTTTGTTTCTTCCAGTAAACACACAGCTGCCACCAATGTACAAGTAGCGTGCGTGGCCAACGACAAGGGAGGAAACAACTCTCACACACAGAAGGAAAAAACGACGTCCAAATAGGACCTGAAAAACAGCACACTTGCTGCACAGTGCTGACGGAAACTGCCAGGAAATTTCTCAGTTGCAAAACCAAGCTGAATCATGGGTATTCTCACGAACATTGTCCCAGCTTAGCCAGGTAGGCCGTGAAGTAAGAAGCATCTTATAGAGCTTATGGGTTCTTTGCTTCGTGCGTCTACGCCTGCCACTTTCGTAGTGTTTCAACCCTGATTCTATTTATCCGCACAACTTTGAGATTCACACCCTCTCTTGTCACATGATTGTGAGACCTGTATATTGAGTATACCGAACTAAACTGGATTCACACACTCGCGTAAAGGAATACGGAAGAGAAGAGGGAGACAGGAAATATATTGCCATGTCTAGCTTACGTTTAAGCACAATCGGTAGCGAAGGAGACGCTTGAGGTTATCGACACCAAGCCAGCTGAGCAGACTGCCACCAGAGACGTTGGCTTTCATCATGTCGGTGGTGCAATAGCTGAGCTGTTCACTTGTCCATGTTCTCATCATACGTCCAGACATTCATGCCACAGAGCCGATAGTTTCCGTAGTGAAGTATATGTAGAAGTAGGCAGATCCGACTTCCACCTTTTTTCCAGGTTTGCAATAGACTATCAGAGCTCATGGTGCAACAAGGCACCGGTCAGGAGGAGGATGATCTGTACATACTATGTGATTGAATAAACCAGTGTGTATCGAGGCTCCAGTCTCTCCGGAGGCGTTGGTTCGAATCGCACCGCCGCCACCAGTGTAGTGTGCGCGGTCTGAGGGCAAGGAGGCAACTACCCGCACCCAGTCAATGAACGTATTACTTGATCGTACTCCGGCACGGCCTGGAGGTTATCTTATAATATTCTGAAGTGAACACAATCTCGCTTTCTCTCTCGCTCTTTTTAAGTCAGACTCTGCGCAAAGAACTAAAATGAAAGCAAGGTCTAATATAGCGAAGAGAGAGAGAGAGTAAGGGAAAGAGTAGAGACCAGGAATTGGGGGCTAGGATAGCGGCAGCAGCGAACGAGCATCGTCGGCTCGGCCGGCGTCCTTTGGTTCACGCCGGCCACTTGTTCGAACTGGTCCTTCCATAGGCTTGTACAGCGGAACAGCAGCGTCGCCCTCAATTTCAGAGAGCTGCCGCACAACGTTGAGCCGGTATTCCATCTGGTTCGTAGGACAATCACCACCGATCAGTCCAGGATTGTCAACACGCCATTGCTCAAACAATATAAATGAATTGACTATGGCTCAGTTGTCGTCGCATAGTTGTCAGTAGTTCGTTAATCGAAGGCGTTGTCGGTTGTCGGCTTAAAAAAAAAAGTCTTCCAATATTTCTTGGTCTTCCTAAGTATGCGGTACGATGCTACCAGCTGATCGAACTTGTCGACGCCTCCCATAGCCATATTGCACACTTGAATTGTCTCTGGCTTCTTTACAACAATGTTGTGGATGTGCCCATGCTCTTTGATAGTAGTGTTGGACGTGCGGGAGACCAACAAGTCCCATATATATAACTAATCCTATGAACCTATACATTTCGCCGACGTTAGTTGTACTCCAGCATCCTCCAGCATCTCCAGCATCCCTCAGATGTAGCATAGGATTGACGGGTGCCAATATGCGCATCAGCAGAGCTATTTGTAAAACCAACAAACGACCCGACAACAGCATGGGTAAAGAAAAGACGAAAGAAGTCAACTTCATTCTCGGGGTGGAAACCATCGGGGAAATGACACCCAGGCTCACGGATAGGGTTGAACACGGGTAGTTGGGGTCTTGCGTCGCCATCCTCCCAGCTCTTCAGATCGGCAGGAGCAGCTACTGGCGCAGGAGGTACTCCACCGCCACCACGACTTCGACCTACGCCGCGACCACCACGACCAGCTCTTGGTCCGCGAGCTGCGCCGCCTCGACGACCTCTTGCTGCGCCAGCTGTCTGAGTAGGCTCAAGAGGCTCACGCTCACGGTCATCAGCTGATTCCCCAGCTGCCTCAGCTGACAGGTTGTCACGCTCGCGATCGGTGGACGAATCGGCAATTTATTCCGCTTCTTCTTCAAGTTCTGACTCGGCATCACTCTCTGGCTCGCCCAATAGGGCCAAATCGATTTGCTCCTCTTCCCCAGAACTCATACCAACGTCGCTGAGCTCCGAGTCTGACAAGGAGACGTCCGACGCGTCTTCATCAAGCAGGAAAGCAAGTGCATCTTCAATTGGAACCGAAGGAACCGCCATTGCGCAAACAAGTTTCTTCTCCAACTTCAACAGTGTGTAGCGCGGAAAATGTAAATGCAAACACACATACTTTGGTAGACCACGGGCTGCCACTGTATGTTAGCTGCCAGCAGAACGTTTTTGCGAGTCGGTCGCAGCAGCGATTCTCCCACGCATGCGAGTTCAATGACGCGCTGCGAGCCGTACCATATGGTGCGGTTCGAGATGGGGCTGGTACACAAAGGGTTAAACGAGCAAGTGATCTATAATTAGATAAGAGTATACTCGGATGTCTCTTATCCGGGCACCTCGGGGCCGGGCACTGCCCGTATCTCAGATTTGCCCGTACCTCACGATACCTCTACCACCATGTATCATCTCATTTTTTTGAAGAAGTCTATTTTTGGCACGTATTGCACATGTTCAGGTTAGAGAAAGAATCCATTGATAAAAATGTGTGGATTACACAGCTTGGCCGTGACAAATAATACTTGCGCATACGGAAAAAAAAGTATTTTTGCCACAGGAACTCAAGCTGAAGGTGCCCGGTAGAGAGACGTGCCCGTATCTGAGGCGTCCGGATAAGAGACGTTTGAGTGTACAGCGTGGGTTGTGAGGGTGATGTAGTAATCAAAAGCATGTACCAGAAGATCATGTACAGGGTGCATAGGCAAACATCATGCGATACTACACACACACACACACACATGCACCACATTTCTATTTCCGTCTTTCAGTAGCGGTTAGCTCTGTGTGTTCTTTGAACTCTCTTTTCTGTTCGTCTGTGCGTGTGTCTTTGCCCATGCACACAAACACACACACACACACGTGCGCGTGCACACATACACACACACGTGCACATACACACACATACACACTTACACACGTGCACACACACACACACACACGTGCACATACGCAGCCTCAGCGCCTAGTATGGCCACGTCAACGCCTAGCCAGACGCGACATCGGCAGAAGTACCTGAACCGCCGTTCTCACGATAAGAACAGCCCTCAGCCAAAGCGGAGCAGGGAAGGCCGGAAGAAGTGTAAGCAAAGACAAATCCAGTGTTGTTGTCGGTTTCTATTTCTGTGCTGTGAGTGGCACCAGCATTGCTACCTGTTTTCCACCCCGTACGTCTGTTTTTGCCGAATATTAGCGTTTTTTTATGAGTCGGGACGCTTTGTGCAGCTTCATTATATCCTATTATGCTGTGGGGTAATGGCTGGTAGCAGTGGGAATGCGTTCAGTAAAGGAGAAGTCCTTGGCTCTTTTTCCTTGCAGTGGTCATTGCTTCTCTCTTCACTTTTGTCCCATGGTTGTGGAATATGCCTACTGTCCTGCAGTGAAGCCCCTTGGCTCTTTTTCCTTGCACTGGTCATTGCTTCTCTCTTCACTGTTTGTCCCATGGTTGTGGAATATGCCTGCTGTCCTGCAGTGAAGCCCCTTGGCTCTTTTTCCTTGCACTGGTCATTGCTTCTCTCTTCACTGTTTGTCCCATGGTTGTGGAATATGCCTGCTGGCCTGCAGTGAAGCCCCTTGGCTCTTTTTCCTTGCACTGGTCATTGCTTCTCTCTTCACTGTTTGTCCCATGGTTGTGGAATATGCCTGCTGTCCTACAGTGACACCATCAGACAAATCCTACCAGAAACAACGGCGGGAGCATCAGCATCGTAGCGGAGAGTCAAACACCAGTGGTGACTTTTCGCACAGTGACGCGGTACGTACGAGTGGGGAGACGTGTGTGTGTGGGGGGGGGGGGGAGAGACGTGTGTGTGGTGTGTGTGTGTGTGGGGGGGGGGGGAGACGTGTGTGTGTGTGGGGGGGGGGGGTAGACGTGTGGGGGGGGGGGGGGGTAGACGTGTGTGTGTGGGGGGGGGGGGGGAGACGTGTGTGTGTGTGGGGGGGGGGGGGTGCTAGAGGAAACGAATAACAGAGCCCTGCACTGCAGAACGGGTAATTTTAGCGACGTAAAAACCCTAGCGAATTTAGCAATCTACTCATGTTTGCTAAAGTTTCAAGTCGCTAATCCGTTGAGACATTAGTAGTGCACTGGTGATCCGTGAGTAAAATCGCTGCAAATCGCTAAAATAAAACGTCGCTAACCGGCTGACAATGGGAAAACGCTAAATTAATAGTCGCTAAAATTACCCGTTCTACAGTATCCGAAGTCTATACCTCAAAGTTGCCTTCTGCTTGCTACCAGAGTTTTAGACTCGAAACAGCTGTATGAAGGAACTGACTACAAGCGGATGTGTGGCTTGCTGATGGTGTGCTGTGGCAACGTCATGTCAAGGTTGGCTGGAGAACACAGTTGTGGTGTGATGGTTGTTGGCAAATCTGCACAGGGCCGAATGCTGCTGCTTGCCCCGTATCTATTACGGAATTCCTGTCAAATGTAATGAACAATGTTTGGTTGTGCTGAAAAGTCAGGGGCGTCCCACACACACAGTACGACAATGGTCGTACCACTTTTCGTCCAGGATGGTCCGTCCGGAGCGCCTGTAGAGCGCTGAAACATGCCTTGTTGGCCGAAAAATCCCATCCCACACCTCTCCTGCCCCCCCCCCCCCCCCTCACGACACCCCCGATCCTCCGTTTTTACCACTTCCCCCCTGCTGTGTGATGCCCCTGAAAGTGTTGTGTGACAGTTGCTTGTTCCCTGTTAATGGTGGTCATGCCGTGCAGGAGTCGTACGACAACGAGATTGACGACGCAGTGTCCACGACCTCGTCACAACTATCACAGCAGCAGCCGCCGCAGCAGCAGCAGGCAATGACCGTGCAGCAAGTCGCCCCCGCTGCCGGGCAGCATCCCGTCCTAGCTCGCCATGCCTCCATGCCGCCAACCATACAACTGCCCACCGGTCAAGCACCAGCTCAGGTAGCAGCGGCAGCACCCCAGCAGCAAGTTGTGGTGAGTAAACCTGTCTTTGTTAGTATTGTGTCACAAGTTGTAGTGAGTAAGGCTTCTTTTTTATTTATTTTTTGCCACACGTTATGGTGGGTAAAGCTTTCTTTGTCAGTTGTGTGTCACAAGTTGTGGGGAGTAAAGTTGTCTTTGAAAGTTGTGTGCTACAAGTATGTGTGGTGAGAAAACTTCTTTTTTAGTTGTGTGCCACACGTTGAGGTGAGCAAAGCTGTCTTTGTGAGTTGTGTGCCACAAGTTGTGGGGAGTACTTCAGTTATTCTTCCTTGTCTGTTGTTTGCCACACGTTGTGGTGGGTAAAGCTTCCTTGTCTGTTGTTTGCCACAATTTGTGGGGAGTAAAGCTTTCTTTGTGAGTTGTGTGCCACAATTTGTAGGGAGTAAAGCTGTCTTTGTGAGTTGTGCGCCACAATTTGTATGGAGTAAAGCTGTCTTTGTGAGTTGTGCGCCACATGTTGTGCAGGGTTAAGCTTCCTTGTTAGAGTTGCACCGAAAGCAAGTTGTGGCATGTAAAGTGACATTGGTAGAGGTTGTGTAGATGTTTGTATTGGTTGTGTTGTTTGTGGTGGTGGTGATGATGGTTGTGGTGGTGATGGTGGTGTTGCTGCTGTTGATGCTGCTGCTGTTGCTGCTGCTCCTGTTGCTGCTGCTCCTGTTGCTGCTGCTGCAGTTGCTGCTGCTGCTGCTGCTGTTACTGCTGCTGCTGTTGTTACTGCTGCTGTTACTGCTGCTGCTGCTGTTGCTGCTGCTGTTGCTGCTGCTGTTACAGCTGTTGTTACTGCTGCTGTTACTGCTGCTGTTGCTGCTGCTGTTGCTGCTATTGCTGTTTCTGTTATTGCTGCTGTTGCTGTTGCTGACTAGTCTGGTCTTTTATTGTTCCTCACTGCCTGCAGTTTGGTGCCCAGCCGGCGCAAAACTTCATTCTCCTTCAGCCCAACGCCCATGGGCAGCTAGTACCCGCAGGTCAGCAGCACATGCCCCTGCAGAGTACCTACTCAGCTCCGCCAGGTAAGGGGCTACATCGGCGACAGACACGCTACAGTCAGTACAGTATTGACCGTACCACTCTTTTTTCCCAATAGGGCTTGAAAGTGATGACGTCAAAAGTAGAGGGAGTAGTAAGTTGACATCAGATTTCTACTTTTGGATCCACTAAGGTGTGACTTTGCTATTGCCTCAGTATGTGGGTGCATAGCAACCCACTCATGTCGTATGCAGGTGCGACTTTTACTTCGCCACCAGTTTTCACCCCGCCCCCACTAGTCAAATCAGTCAGTTTCACTGGTTACACCACCTTGCCCTGAGTAAGACCGCTTGAAATGTGCTTGGATCCATACAAAAACTGGATCCAGGTGGATCCAGTTTTTGAATTTTTCAAATTGTTGCTATGCCATTGCTATGCTGTGACGTAGCACTTTCAAGCCCTATTCTTCGACGACCGTCAGTACCGTGTGATTTACCGCCTGTGAAATGCATGCTGGAACCCTAAGGCATGTCCTGATTGCTGCATGTTCTTCGTTTTCCTGGATGTATGGTGGTGTGTGTATATGTGTGTGTGGTGTGTGGGGTGTGTGTGTGGTGTGTGTGTGTGTGGTGTGTGGGGTGTGTGTGTGGTGTGTGTGCGTACGTGCGTATATACATGTGTGTGCATGTGTATCAGGCTCGCACACGATAGCAGCGTCAACGGCAGGCGGTGGACAGCCCACGCTATTGTTTCAGCCGCACCACATGCAGACCATAGTGCACCCTGGAGCGGTAGCGGCAGCACCCTCACACCCCGTTCTTACCGCACAGCTCTCCAACGATTCACAGGTAAGCAATAAAATGCTTGTGTATCCGGTGAAGTAGGTGAAGAAAGTGTATTGAAGAATGTGTATCTGGTGAAGTAAGACAAATACTTCGAAGTACAAAAAAACTTGCGGCAAAACTTGTTTGTCCGGGGTATTTATTTTATTTCACCAGATACACAGGCATTTTGCCTTCTTTTCTAACCATACTGCTAGACTGTCAATAAAAGATAAGCACACTGCTACTCAAACAGTGCAGCGCACACGCTTGCATATCCACATTACGTCTCTCTTTGGCTTCATGTGCGCGGAACTCGTTTTGAAAGGTCGGCATGCATATACTTTGATGCAGCTAAAATTGGGTTCAACTGTCTACCTAAATTCAACATCTACACTTCTTTCATTGTCGACGATCACAAGTTGTAATTGCACTTGAGGCGTTCGGTGCGTTAAAGGGTGTTGCTAGAATGAATACGGAAAAATCATATGGACTTTTGGGCAAACCATCATGTTCCACCTATCTCTTTGTCTGTCCGTCCGTCCATATGTCTGTGCGTCTGTCTGTCTGTCTGTCTCTCTCTCTCTCTCTCCATTTCCCTTCTTCTTCTCTCTCTCTCTCTCTCTCTCTCTCCCTCTCTCTCCCTCTCTCTCTCTCTCTCTCTCTCTCTCTCTCTCTCTCAGGCATCGCATCGCAAGCTTGAAGGAAGCGTCAGCTGCCCACCAGTGGCTACTGCCATGCCATCGTCGACGGCAGGTGGATCGAGTGTCGCCGCGAGCAGCTATGTTCCTGTCGTTGCCGGGCAGACCACGCCGCGTACACAACCTCAAGTCGTTTCCATGGTACCCGCCGGCTCATCTGCGGCATCTGCGCACGGTGGCGGTGGTGGTGGGGCGGCGACAAGCAAAAGTGGACATCCGGCGCTCAAGCGACAAGGCCATAACAGCCTGCGACGCGTCTCGGAGACTGTTATACATCGCGACCTAAACGACAACCGAGCACTCATGGGAGGTAGGTGTTTGTGACCAAGAGTATAATAGGCTCCCAAGCATCATTCTTAGTGTTTTGCTACTCTGAGTTTCTTGCATTGCGCGCAATCACCAGGCAAACGATATCCAATGCAAACTGGCTACCCTTTCTATGGGGTTTGCCGACGGCGATAACTCACATCACGGCGGTGCAGTGTTCCCTGTGTATGTTCCCACCATTTGTAGCGAGCAGTGGAGTAGTAAAGATACCACTCCCTGACGGATATTCATTACGCTCTGACCAGTTTGCATTGGATATTGCTTGCCTGGTGATTGCACACAGTGCATGAAACTCAGAGTAGCAAAACACTGCGAGTGATCCATTGTTTGTGATGTATTGTGTACTGACATGTGTCGTTGCTCCATCCAAGTAATTGGATGTTGAGCACTTTTTCTCCAGCTGCAGACATAGTCGTACTGAGTCATTTGTGCTTTCTATGCATTTTCTTCTGCAGGAGAGCGGCAATCGCATGGACATCGTCCCCTCGGTCTCTCTTCGTCGGCGGAAGCGCAGCTCATGGGTGATTCCAGCACGAGATCACCGAGACGAACTAGTCCACCGCCTCGCAACTCGCCTCTGCCCTCCTTACAGGTAAGCATGTTGGCTTGGCGTTTTATTGGCGCTCATCCCATTCTGGATGACGTGAGTGTGGTGCTTGGGTGCAACCTGATGTGGAAATCTGAGTAGAATGCGAGGGCCGGAATTCATACTGTCGAGTCAGTGTCCTTCCAAGTTAGAGTGTTGAAGTGCGTTTTATTGGTGCTCTTTACATTCCGGATGACCTGAGCCTGGCTCGGGTGTTTACTAATGTGGCTGGGATTGTGTTTGATTAGGGATCATCCCATCTTGGGTGACCTCAGTATTGCTTGAGTGCATGCTGATGTGGTGATCTGAGTAGAGTAGAAGAACAGGATATAATGCTCTCGAGTGAGCGCCATTGCAGGGTAGGCCGAGAGGATGTGTTTGATTGGTGCTCATCTCGGCCTGGATGACCTAAGAGGAGGGTTTGGGTGCATACTGATGTTGAAGTCTGTGTAAAGTAGGAGAGCAGGATTTCATACTGTCGAGTCAGCAAGTGTTTTCTTTTTGGCTTGCTGATGGCTGAACTCTTGTTGTTTCCGCATGAGGAAGGGAAAACAAGCCGGAAAATTTTACTGCAGAATAAAAATCTAAAATTCTGAGACTCGTGATAACTCTGTACTTGTTGTACCATGCCCTCGCCCTTGCCCTCAGGAACACCAAGCTATGGACGAGGATGAGCCGACGGAACACGCTCGCAGCGTGACCTCGGAGAGTACGTCCGTGTCCTACGAGATGTCGAAGAGAATGGAACGACCTGGCGCCGCCCCGGCCGGGCACTACCTTCAGCCACGCCAACACGAGGTAAGGGGCCATCCGGCATTATCAATAGTTTGCAGGGCACGAAAAAGTATTTTTACAAGTTACAACCTTCCCCCACCCATGCCCCCCCCCCCCCACGTCTCCCTCCCTGAACGAGATAGCTAGAATGGATTGATGTTGCAACGAAACTCTATCCAACCCACCCATCCGCAAACCAAACTGTTTCTTTTCATGTAAAAGATCGATAATTATGCACGCTTGTGTACATTGGTAGTAAACTTATACCTTGTTCATCAGGGCGGTCCGGGACTGGGCACTGCCCGTAGCCTTGAAGTGTCCGTAACTCCAAAGCACATACATTTTGATGGAGAAAGCCCATAGATGTGGCATATGTCATCACTATTTCCACAAAAAGTGACAAAAAGAACAGTACTATTTCCACTGAAGCTTGCCCAATGGGTGCCCGGTAGACCGAAGTGCCCGTAACGTCGGGGTCCGGATAACCGAGGGATGAGTGTGCGTGTATTCACGTGTGGTACATCCGTCTGCATTGAGTATTGAATGCACAGCGTACTCGTATGCCAGTCTATGCTCCTGCAACATGTATACATTAAATGCTTGTGTTTGTGTGTGTGTGTACGTGTGTGCACGTACTTGCGTGTGTATGTATGTATGTGTGTGAATATATAATTATGTATGTGTGTGTTTACTCAATCTATGTGTGTGTTTATGTACACACACCGGCTTGCGTGGATGCGTGCCTGCATGCATGTGTTTGTGTGTGTGCGCGCATATGCATGCTTGATTCGTGTGCCGTTCAGACTCTCCACCGTGCCTATTCCGAACCCAGCAGTCGCCTAAACAGTCACGTGGCTGCAGTCCCTGTGGGTGCAGCCGTCGCTCCTGTTATGCCGCAGGTATGTGTATCAAGTCTTGTTTGATGGGCTGCTTTATTTATCTATTTATTTCTGCACTTCGTAGCATGTCAAGACAGCCAGTTGAAATGAGGAGAGGGTGAGACCAACCACAGAAAAAGGAGGAAAAAAAGAAAATGGAAAAACACGTACACAAAATGGAAGGGATTAGCAACTTACAAGGCAATGGGATGCCCAGCGAGCTATGCAGCGGAAGTGGGGAGTGTGATTTTTTTACTGGAAGATACTGAAGTGCTGTATGACAATCGTGTGCAAGCATGGGATGCCCTGCGAGCTATGCAGCGGAAGTGGTGACTGTGATTTTTTACTGGAAGATACCGAAGTGCTGTCTGACAATCGTGTGCAAGCATGGGCTACCGCATGCTTTCCTATGTGGACAAAAATGCGTAGGATGGGTTTTCAGGATTTCCATTCCTGAAATGAGGGGATGCCCCTACAAAACTTTCCAGGACTTCAAAACGTTGCTATTCCCTACCCTTTTTTTGTGTATATGCCTTTCACTTTCTCTTTTCTCTTCTTCCATGGTCGGTCTCACCATCTCCTCAATTCAAGTGAATTGGCTGTCTTGATATGCTACGAGGTGCAGAAATAAATTTCAAAAAAATTAAAATGATAGTACAGTGGGGGATTTCGAAACTGGAAAGAACAGGAAAGGATAACCCACTGAGAAACCAGTGCGGTAATCGTACTATCGCGTATAGAAGCATGACTCGAAGGCAAGGTGCAAAACCGCGCACTACGTACCAGCGTTTTTTTAGTAGAAGAATCCTCAAGTATTGAGGTGCAGATGCAGCTGCTAAAGCGGCGGAGGGAGTTGAGTAGCGCAGACCCACCACCAGCGTGGTCAAAGACTGAAAATACCATTCGCTGCATAAATGCTTCCCTCGTGCCAGGCCACCGGTTTCCAATTATCGGTGGGTCGCAACCCGGCTGGAAAAAACCCTTCCGCTTCCAAGCAGGACTATATCTCTAAATCCAGCTATTCCTGTCAGCTATGCCTGTCAGAAAAAGCCTCTGCCGTATTTCCCCGATTACAGGTCGCACTCGATTATAAGTCACACCTCCACTTTCAGGTTTGAGCCATTATTGTTTCAATATAATCCCATAAATGGAATGTCACATTGATTGTAAGGGGCATCCCCTTCTTTGCCCTTGAAGTTTAATGTGAAAAGGTGCGACTTATATCCGGGGGAAATAAAGTAATTATAATATGTACTCTTCACTAGTTTGAGGGAAAGAGAGACAAACGGGAAAAGTCTGAAGAAAAAATTGACTGTCACCACCAGGACTCGAACCAGGGACCCTCGCTTGTAGCTAGCGATGCTCTAACCACTGAGCTATGGTGTAGTCGTCATCCCAGCAGAGACTGTTCAACATTTTCTTCAGACTTCGTAACTCACACTTCCTGTGAATCCACACAGGCGGGTGGGACGCAGCCCTCACTGTACCCACACACTTCACGTACACTCTAGCACGCGGGGAGCGCCAAGTCATAAAATATGTACTCTAGTATTAAAACTTCAGTTCTCAACTCAAAAAACGGTCTCTTCACTGCAATTCAAACCAAAATTTAAATTTAAAAAAAAAACATTACCCTGATGATGGGCTAGGCCCCAAAATTTGGTGTAATGTTAAATTTTTTAAATTTAAATATAAAATTTTGGTTTGAATCCGCAGTGAAGAGACCGTTTTTGGAGTTGAGAAGTGAAGTTTAGAATGTGTAAGTGGCTGCGTTGGAGTTGGCGGACAATTAGAAAAGTACTCTAGTATTTTCTCTATGGTCTTGCTCGTCTGAAGTCAACGAGCATAAAGAAAAATTATGATATTAGTGAGTGCACTTTCAAAATTACAGTCAGTGAAAAAATCGTGCATACGAGGCCTTGTCTATCGCGTTGTCATGGTAAAAGCAATACTTTCGATCAGAAACCTGGACGTAAGCCTAATATGTAGTGCAGTAGGTCACAAGCTGCAGGTTCTATCACGTAACGGTCACTCAGGTTAGCTGCGTCGATGTCCCTCCAACGTTTCTTGGGACCAAGTCTGGGCTGGGTGTTGAGTCCCTCAGCGAATGAAACGCGCTTGCGGAGACGGGGCACACTAGTCCACTCTTCACCATTGTTGTATCTGTATGTTTTTGTGGTGATGGTAACCACGTTGACTGTCCCTCCTTCAACCAGCTCTCTGCTGATCACGACCACCTCGTCGGGAATCTTCCATTCGCCCAAGCTGGCTAAGCCAGTGTAGAAGGTGACAACAAGTTCACGTCAGTTTCATCTTCCTCGTTCACCTCTACACTATGTACACTAAATTATGGACACCGAATATGCAGTCCACAATGCTATTGGGAATTTCGTCTACATAACAACCAAGAAGACAACAAGTTCACGTCAGTTTCGTCTTCCTCGTTCACCTCTACACTATGTACACTAAATTATGGATACCAAATATGCAGTTCACAATGCTGTTGTGAATTTCGTCTACATAACAACCAAGAAGACAACAAGTTCACGTCGGTTTCATCTTCCTCGTTCACCTCTACACTATGTACACTGAATTATGGACACCGAATATGCAGTCCACGATGCTGTTGGGAATTTCGTGTACATAACAACCAAGAAGACAACAAGTTCTCGTCAGTTTCATCTTCCTCGTTCACCTCTACACTATGTACACTAAATTATGGATACCAAATATGCAGTCCACGATGCTGTTGGGAATTTCGTGTACATAACAACCAAGAAGACAACAAGTTCACATCAGTTTCATCTTCCTCGTTCACCTCTACACTATGTACACAAAATTATGGACACCAAATATGCAGTCCACGATTGCCTTAATGGTAACGTCGCCTTCGGCGAATGTTTACTGTTCTACGTCCGTCGCTGTACTGCTGACGTTGAGTTGTCTTTATTCGTACTCTTGTTAGCCTCACCCCGTCTGATGTTTAAGGTGGCAGCCTTCCGTTCGCGGGATCCAAACCTAAAAAAAGTCCGGAAGCAGCCATGGGTGGTGGGATAGGGCCCCTCAACGTGGCCCTGGAATCTGTCACAACGGCACGAGTGGGCGTTCTCTCACAGACTCCCACAGACCCAAGTCAATTTTTGAATTTTTTTAGGTTTAGCACGTGCTACGAGGTGGTACCTTTGATACAACATCCAGTGCTCGTACCTTTGTAGTGGGTAGCCGAGTAGTCGGATGGAGGCACACACAATAAGACTGTGAAGTAGGTTTCTTGGCTCAATCTGCCAGAGGATAAAGTGTACAATTAATAATCTAATAGGTTCAATCTACCGAGAAGAACTCTATAAGAGCTCTGAGGAAAACCCTGAGGAAACTCAAACTCTGCTCAGTACTGCTCAGCTCTTGCATGCATGAATACATGTACGACGTCAATGTAGGTCACTAGTATCATACAACGTATGTACGTAGTAGTTGGTTACAAGTAGGGCCAGGGATACTACACCTTCACAGCAAGCCATTTCCACAGCGCTGCACACCAAATCCAGGATACCCTCAAAAATCGGCACAAAGACCACCACTCACGTTCCACTACTGCCTAGTACTGAATCCTACCTGACTTCTTGACACGACTCAAACTTGCCAAAGTCACTAAATCAACGTCAACTACAACAATCAAGCCACATATCTGCAACGTCACGAGGGCTAAAAAGCGTGATTTTCTTTGTCAACTCCTCCCGTCGATGCGTTGCAGTCGGGCAACGGTCTTGAGTTGCTTTCACGAAGATGCGCACGAGCAAAAAGTTGTACAGTCCCAGTTTTTCTACTGTATCTCAGTGCCGCCCGTGTACTACCGTGTGGCAGCATCCTTTGTTTACGACTTACCCTGGCATACAGGCATTGCCGCTGTCGAAACAACTCGCTTGAATTTGTTCCACTGTTGGTGAAGAGGATGGTCGCCGCTGCGCACATAGCAGCAGGCTTCCCATTCTGTACTGTGTTTGAGAACGCCGTCGCGTTACCTTTCATTTGAGGCGGAAATCCACGCCGATTCAGACGGACTATGCCCTCAAGAGGAACGTGGCTTTGGTGTAGAGAATTTGCCTGCTTGGCGGGAGTATGGAAGCTGTCGGTGTACGCAATGTGATGCTGGCACACTCTACTTTGTGATTCTCCTCTTTATCCCGGTCTCTGGGTGGAGTGCGTGTAGGTATGTGTACAGGTAGAGGTAAGGAGGGGAGGGAATCGGGGAGGGGTGCTGGTGGGAGGGGGAGGGGGGGGGGGGAGTTGGTTTTAGGGGAGGGTACCAGGGAGGTTGACTATTATACCTGAATGCTAATGTGTGTGTGTGTGTGTGTGTGTGTGTGTGTGTGTGTGTGTGTGTGTGTGTGTGTGTCTGTGTGTCTGTGTGTCTGTGTGTCTGTGTGTGTGCGTGTGTATGTGTGGGTGGGTGTGCATGCGTGTGTACGTGCGGGTGTACCTGTGTGTGTGTGTGTGTGTGTGTGTGTGTGTGTGTGTGTGTGTGTGTGTGTGTGTGTGTGTGTGTGTGTGTGTGTGTGTGTGTGTGTGTGTGTGTGTGTGTGTGTGTGTGTGCGTGTGTGCGTGGGTGTGTGTCGACGAACGTGCCTGCTTGTGTGCATGCATGTGTGTGAGCACAATTTCCACTCCAGGTACTGTTGGAGGGCCACTCGCGTGAGATCGTGGCCAACTTCCAACGGGAGAGTGCACAGCTTGATCAGATGACCCGGCAGCTGGAGCAACAGCACCTCAGCGACCTGGAAACTCTCAACAAGGCGAAGAGTCACATCGAGGAGAAGCACCGGATGAGAATGGCTCAGTTACAGGTATGCTCTGCAATGTACTAGTACACGAAGACCTGCCAGATGGTGGGGGCTTGCTGGGGGTGTGTGTGGTCGGTTCACATGGCTTCGCCAGTTGTGTGGATTAGACAGTTAGCTGGCGCAAGTCTTGATCTGTCTCATTCAGATCTTGTTCACTATCGTTGCTATAAGAGAAAATCTGTGGGTGCACATCCAGTGCATTTGCAGATTTGCGTGCTTCTCTTGCGACGGGCGTATACATGGTGGTACATGGTGTGTGTATGTGTGTGTGTATATGTGGGTGGGTGTATGTGTGTGTGTGTGCGTGTGTGTGTGTGCGCGTGCTTGTGCGTGCGCGTGTGTGCATGCGTGTGTCCGCATGACTACCGGTGTACTCGATGCGCTCCAGCAACACGCCCAGGTACAGCAACAAGTACAAGCACAGCAACAGGCGCAAGCACAGGCTCAACAACAACAACAACAACAACAACAACAACAACAACAACAACAACAACAACAACAACAACAACAACAACAACAACAGCAACAAGCTGCTCTTGCGGCTGCACAACACCAGACCGCAGGGGCGATCATTGCAGCTCCCATGTTCCCCGCCGGCATGGCAACCATGGGAGCCGGGCCGAGTGCAGTTGCCACGGCAACCGATGGCGGACTCCGCCAGCAGCCAGTAGCGGGGCGCGGCGGCGCGGAGATGCCGCAGCTGTACGCCCCACATCAACACCACCACCACGCCCACGTCGCACCGCCATCGCTAATGTCTGCTGGCGGTGGCGGTGACGAGGCTGCCGCTATGGGGCTCCACGGCCAGGAGCCACCGCCGACGCCGAACTCTCTATCACCGCCGCGATCCGCAGCGGCAATGGTAAGTCATATTGAAAATCAATAAATAGTCACAATTATCAATGGAATTTGTGACTAAAGAGAATGATGAAACTACGATAGGATTTATACACTTGGAGTGAAAAAACGAGGATAGAAGAAAAGCAGGAAAAATACCACCAACGTTACTTCGGAAAATTGCACTGGTAATATAAACTAAACAGGTGAGAAATGATCGTATCCTCTGCGAGCGAGTTGTAGAACGCCAGTACTGTTGGTCAGTGTTGTGGAATGTTATCGCAAAAGCTGATTGTAAAGTAACTGGTGGTGTTAGTGGATATTATAGCGTAACTTGTAGCTCTTTGCTCCTCTTTTCTTTTTGTAAATTAATCCTTGGTCCTTGGCGCTCCACCCGAGTGCAGTCAATTTTCTCTTCAGACTTTTCCCATTTGCATATTTTCCCTCGAACCAATCCATATTACATATCCAGAACAATTCGGACATGTCCAGTGTTCGTAGTGATCACTGCCGTTGGTACGGTTGTCAAAGTCCGTGTCCTGGGTAATGCTCAGGGAGAGAGTGGAGGCGGAGGGCCTTCTTCTTCAATCTAACATCAGCAATAGACTCTCGAACGGCACCGGCGTTTGCATCGTAGTTGCATCGTAGTTGAGCAGGTCAGATGCAAGTACATTCAGGACGGATTCGTAGCTGATGAGTTTAGCTATACGAACTTAGTATTATTCCTCACTCTTTCCCTTTTTTCATACGATATTATCTCTCTGACAGAGGATTGTCAGAAACGTCCTCAGCGAAGACTAGAGCGAGTGCATCTTCTACACTAACATGCAATCTTGCCGTGGAGAAAACAAAATTTCTTTTCAAACTTCAACAGTCTGCAGCGCCGAAAATCTAAATGGGAGCACCCATACTATGATTATGATGCAGCAACATTTCCAGCAGGGCTTCACTGTGTGGCTTGGTTTTGCCCTGGCTCTGCGATCGACGAAGCAAAGACACTCAAGGCGCGTCTAATTACGGCTCCGTTAACCGTCACGTTACGGTTCAAGACGGGGCTCGAGATGGGATTCGAGATCGGGTTTGAGATCGGGTTCGACATCGGGTTCGAGATCCAGTTCGAAATGGGGCTGATGCATGAGGGGTTGAAAAGAACTTTACCCTTCTTCGTAGGTTGTGTTTGCCTGTAGCGCTGTTACGACTGGTCACCATCTCCTTTGTGCATTTGTGTGTGTGTTTGTGTGTGTGCATGTGTTTGTACCGCCACATGCATGCTTGCTTGCGTCTGTGCACGTGTACTTGCTTGTGTCCGTGTGCGCGCGGGCGTGCTTGCCTGCCTCCCGCATGTGTGCGCGTGTGCATGCGCGTGCGCGATGAAGCAGGACCCTCACACGGACCCGAGCAAGACGGCGCTCGCCTGCGACACGTACATGCACAAACATCAGTGCTCCATCCCCGAGTGCATCGCGCATCCCGAGGGCAAGGGCCGACTGCACAGCATCTGGTCGCGCTTCAAGGCCATGGGCATCATTCAGCAGTGTCACGTGATCAAGGCCAGGAAGGCGACGCACAACGAGCTGCAGAGCGTGCACAGGTAAGCCTAAGTTGGTGCGCCTGCCATGTGAAGATGCCGAGACCTCTGGTCGGTTGGGCATAGCAGGCTCCACCAGCACAGTCTCACCCCATGCTAGCCCCATGTGCCTGCCAGTGAGCTGTGCATCTTGTAAAAAGAAGAAAAAAAGCTATTCATGCAACCAGTACAGAATGCACCATTGGTGCGTGTTTGTTGGCCGTGATGTAGAGACCTCAGGTCGCCAGTGCTATCAATGCCCTACCATCACTGCTGCATCTCGGTGCAGCTTGTCCTTATCTCACTACCATTGTCTTTCATTGTTATTCGAGTTGCGTATGTGAACATAGTAAAAATTAAAAATTAAAAATTAAAAATTAAAATAAACTTTGGTGCTGCTCAATGAAATCCAATTGCAGCACTCAAGTACGTGCCTTGCATCATTCGCAGCCCCGTGTTTGCAGGTCTATGGCTGCGCAGCACTGGAGTTGATACCCAGCTCGGCCCTAGTCCCCCCCCCCCACGCTTATCTTACATTTCAGTTCTCCCCTCCCCCCCCCCCCCCCCCCCCCGCCCCTTTTCTCCCCTGTATGATCGCCTATGGCTCTGAACAGTACTGCCTTCCACCACATTCTTGTCTTGCGCTTGTAAATCCTCTCTTCTCTCTTCATTTTCTTGATTTTCTTCGAGTCTGTGATCTCCTGGGGTAAGCAGCGACGATGTCTGCGTACAGTGCCAACTGAAAACATGCCAAAGCCAAGTAGATCCATGAAAAGGGGCACTCCAGTGTAAAAGTCATCCATGTAGATTGTATGATGTCTGTGAAATAGTCCTCTGCACAACGACAACACTACACAATAGGCCAGTACCTGTTCAGATCTGTCTTGCTCTCGTCCAGCATACACTTTTATGCGCCACATGTACCCAGTTAGCGAGCAGGCAAGAGACCACAACTTTATTGCCCGCTTGTGGGGCTTACTATTTTGGTATATTGCTTCAAGACTGTCCTCCCCTTTCCCGGTATTAGTGTCTTGTCAACAGACATAATTATCTGCACGAAGATTGTATGCTGATTCAGGTGCATTTGTTAACATTTTCTACAAGCTCGCGGACCTTGTGGAGACGGTCATTGGGCTGCAGTGTGGTGTTGTCAGCTGTGTGCAGGCAACGCGATATGAAACGAAACAGGTTACGCATCATACAAGAGCTCAAACGCTCGTTCCTCATGAATCCATGGCATTCAGTCCACCCGTATAATATTATATCTATCCCTGAGAGAGGAGCAACGTCCATTATAATCAGAACTCCAATGAAAGCCTCCATCATTTTGACGTCAATGGCCCCCAATCAGAGGCTGCTTTTTGCTGGGCAGCATAGCGGTTCGTCTCTTGTACAAGCAGCAAGATGTTAGTTGAAAACAACGGACTAAAGAAGGTATAATATTATGGAGTTGCCTGGATTGGCACTGGGAATGAGTTGGTTGGGCCGAAATTCATTGCAATGCAGGAGCTGGAGGAAAATGATCACCGTTCCCCCAAGTTCTGACGTATGGATCAGCTGCAGCACCGCGTCCAGTGACCACCGCATCCATGGCCAATGACCACCACGGCCAGCACCACCGGGACCAGCACCACCACAACCAGCACCACCGGGACCAGCACCACCACGACCAGCACCACCACGACCAGCACCACCACGACCAGCACCACCACGACCAGCACCACCACGGCCAGCACCACCACGACCAGCACCACCACGACCAGCACCACCACGACCAGCACCACCACGACCAGCACCACCGGGACCAGCACCACCACGACCAGCACCACCGGGACCAGCACCACCACGACCAGCACCACCACGACCAGCACCACCACGACCAGCACCACCACGACCAGCACCACCACGACCAGCACCACCACGACCAGCACCACTACGACCAGCACCATCAGAACCAACATGCCCACCAGTACCTTGACCAGCAGCTCCAACAGTGGATACAGGGGCAGCACCAGCACCCTCACCTGTGATATGCCCTGTAATAGCTGTATTTGCGCACTGGCAGAACTATAGAAACCAGTACTAGCACTGGCAGCACTGATACCTACTGAAGAGATGCAGCAGCAGACTGGCCCATGTCATATTGGCGTCGTGCTTCGGTGGTTTCTTGAGTATGGGCATGTGCAAAGGCACATGCCACAAGAATTTTTTTTACAGAATGCACCTACTGATAGACCATAACAAAGAGAGGAGAAGAGGAAGACGACAAAAGAAAATAATGATCGAGACAACAATGGAGAAAGACAGACAATGTACTAGTAGGGGCTCTCAGGGAGCCTGTGCCAGTGAGGCGGATGGGCATGGGCATGAGTCGGGTAGGAGTGTGACTGTGCTCTTAGCTCTGCTGTATGCCGTTGATGTTCAGTTGTGTTGGGCCTGCTACTAGGCTCACGTTCACACCTTGGATCTAGGCTGTCAGAATCAGAATCCTCAACCAGCTCCTCCACAGGATTGACTTGGTCCTCAGCTGAGCTATCAACATATTATCTCTGTGACCTTCAGCTCCAGCAGTATCGTCATCGTTGTAAACAATCTTCTGCTCCTCGCGGCTGGCTCAAAATCTGACATATCGCAGTCAGAGGAGCTATCGAAATACTGTGCGTCTTCGTCTGAATCCCCAAACAGCGTATCAGCAACAAAACCAGCAAGAGTATCGTCACCCAAGGCCTGCCAATCCGAAAAGGAGTCCCGCACGACCACACCATGAAGTGCGACATGGCCGAGCGAGCCGCACAAACTTCAACAATTGTCAAATGGCGAACTTGCCGCTACATAGGCATGTGTGGCATCAGTGGAAAGCTCTTTTCTTCAGCTGCACACAGCTGGAGTTCAGCCCTGTGACATCATCCCGTGCAAAATGCTACCATGGTGTCAAAACGACAGTGGCCGTTAAAGGCGTTTAGAATGGTCACTCTTCTCTTGCGCAGTGCTATTGGTCAATGAAATCTAATCATGTTAATCAAGACAATTACCGTAAAATCTGTGACTAACGACCACCCCTTGAGGCCAGAGAAAGCGGTCTTTAGTGGCAGGCGGTCCTTAGTTACAGGTTTGCAGCGCACAACCATATATAACTGTGAGACCGTCCGTGCCTGGCGAAGTGGTCGGTAGTGTCAGGCTGGTCACTAGTCACCGTGGTCTTTAGTTACAGGTTTTACTGTAGTACCAGGCTGGTCACTAGTCACGTTGGTCTTTAGTTACAGGTTTTACTGTAGTACCAGGCTGGTCACTAGTCACGGTGGTCTTTAGTTACAGGTTTTACTGTAGTACCAGGCTGGTCACTAGTCACGTTGGTCTTTAGTTACAGGTTTTACTGTAGTACCAGGCTGGTCGCTAGTCACGGTGGTCTTTAGTTACAGGTTTTACTGTAGTACCAGGCTGGTCGCTAGTCACGGTGGTCTTTAGTTACAGGTTTTACTGTAGTACCAGGCTGGTCACTAGTCACGGTGGTCTTTAGTTACAGGTTTTACTGTAGTACCAGGCTGGTCGCTAGTCACGGTGGTCTTTAGTTACAGGTTTTACTGTAGTAGCAGGCTGGTCACTAGTCACGGTGGTCTTTAGTTACAGGTTTTACTGTACGTGCTAAGCGCTGTGCAGCCCTAGATCTGTGTGCCTGGGATGGTGAACTGGTGCAGGGCGTAACCTTGACTCACTGGATCCAATCTCATTGAGCAGCATTACCTTTTAGTTTTAGATTCAATCAAGTGCTTGTTTGTCGTCTCTGACTATCTTTTGTGTGTGTGTGTGTGTATGTGTGTATGTGTGTATGTGTGTTTGTGTGTGTGTGTGTGTGTGTGTGTGTGTGTGTGTGTGTGTGTGTGTGTGTGTGTATGTGTGTGTGTGTGTGCATGTGTGAGTGCGTGCCCGTGTACGTGTGTGTATGTGTGTGTCCATGGTGTGTGTGTATACGTGGATGTGTGTACATTGTGCATAATGTTGCAGTGAAAACCACACGCTCCTATATGCTGGTAACACAAGAAATAGGAGAATCCAAGGTAGGTTGAGCAGTTACACCTTTGTGTGTGTGTCTGTTTGTGTGTGTGTGTGTGTGTGTGTGTGTGTGTGTGTGTGTGTGTGTATGAATCTTTGTGTATGTGTGTGTCTGTGTCTGAGAAAGAGAGAGAGAGAGAGAGAGAGAGAGAGAGAGAGAGAGAGAGAGATGTGTGTGTGTGTGGGCGTGCGTGCGTGTGTGTGTATGTGTGTGTGTGTGTGTGTGTGTGTGTGTGTGTGTGTGTGTGTGTGTGTGTGTGTGTGTGTGTGTGTGTGTGTCCAAGTGTGTGTCCAAGTGTGTGTCCAAGTGTGTGTCCAAGTGTGTGTCCCTGGGGACATCTGGGACTGAATAGATGTGAATGAGTGCCTGTATTTGTGTAAGTACCGGGGGGGGGGGGGGGTCGATCCAGGAAGGGTTCCAAGGGTTCGGCAAGGCCCCCGTAAATTTCGTCGATGTAGTACAGGAAACCATATGCGTATACATGTACATGTATCAGCTTTTGAGTTTCGGTTAAACTGGACCCCTCCCCCCCCCTGTAGACTAAGAGAATGCTGGATTCGCCCCTGGCTCAGCAGCTTGTACATCTGTGTTTGCCAGCAAGTTCATTATTTTTGAAAGGTTTTCTATCCCTGCAATGGCTTGTTGTGCGTGCATTCGTTTTCTTCTGTCATTGTTTGTTCCCAGGGAATACGCGGTGTTTTATTCAGCTCGAGTGTGGAGGAATTGGAGTAAGTGTGTAGTATTAGTACCAAGAGTACATAACCCCAAGAGTGTGCAACTGCCTGCACAATCTCTATGCTGTGCTGCGACGGCAGAACTTCACATCACATGACATGGTTCAAAAGGTTATGCTGGCAAGCAGTGCAAAGTGACCACAAGAGAGTTGTACCCAAAGCTGGGCTGCGGACAAACCCTGTATCTATCATGCGCAGAATGCAAATAATGTGTACGGGTTCATCACGTGATGTGAAGTTCCGCCGTCGCAGACCCCATAGCTGGAGTTGCACACTCTTGGGGGTTATGTACTCTTGGTAGTATTTATTATTTGACTAGGGGAGTCCCAACACGCATGGCCTTGTTACAGGGAACCCTAGGTGAATCTTCTGTGAGGTGAGCAAAAGTACCAGCAGATTGTGCCTGACGACAGTTTGGAGGAAGAGCGTTCCACCTACCTGCCGCCAGAAAAGAAAGTGTGTTGGATGCAAGGCGGTGAGAGTTGGCCCTGGGCGGATGAAGAATTGGCAGATTTTGCTCGAAAAGCAGTGACATCGGCAGAGCCGCACAAGCCTTATAGCAGGCACTTCTTTGAATTCTGCTCCATTTATTTTACGAGTTGGGTTTGTGAATAATAGTAAAAAATAAATAAATAAAAGAATAAATAAAAAATTCTTTTTCCACATACCAAGCATGCATGAAACATTTCAAAAAGTATCTAATTCTGCCATTTTCTGCTGGAATTATCCACCGAGGGCTTATGAGAATGAGCAGTTAGTTTTCCACGCTGATATTACTCTGTTGAGTGCTGACGGGATGCATGCTGTTATGCGAATGATGTACAGGAAAATCTGTGACTAACGACCACCCCTTGGGGCCAGAGAAAGCGGTCTTTAGTGGCAGGTGGTCCTAAGTTAGAGGTTTGCAACGCACAACCATACATGAATGTGAGACCGTCCGTGCCTGGCGAAGTGGTCGGTAGTACCTAGTCACGGTGGTCTTTAGTTACAGGTTTTGCTGTACACGTTTGACTCTGAGAGTGGAATTGTGGTGCTAGAAACACTGCGTGAAGTGTGCTGCTGTAACCTGGGCCTGAGATGCCCCGAGACGCCTGGGATGTTTGATGCCGTAGTGTCGCCCGTAAAAGCAGGTGCTTACAGCCAAACGCCAGGGGTTTGGGGGGTTCAAACAGTGCTTCTATTGAAAAACATGCTTTTAGGTCAACATCATCCGTCTACACTGCGAAGTGTCAGTGCGGACAGTAAAACCTGTAACTAAAGACCACCGTGACTAGCGACCAGCCTGCTACTACAGTAAAACCTGTAACTAAAGACCACCGTGACTAGCAACCAGCCTGGTACTACAGTAAAACCTGTAACTAAAGACCACCGTGACTAGCAACCAGCCTGGTACTACAGTAAAACCTGTAACTAAAGACCACCGTGACTAGCAACCAGCCTGGTACTACAGTAAAACCTGTAACTAAAGACCACCGTGACTAGCGACCAGCCTGGTACTACAGTAAAACCTGTAACTAAAGACCACCGTGACTAGCGACCAGCCTGGTACTACAGTAAAACCTGTAACTAAAGACCACCATGACTAGCGACCAGCCTGGTACTACAGTAAAACCTGTAACTAAAGACCACCGTGACTAGCGACCAGCCTGGTACTACAGTAAAACCTGTAACTAAAGACCACCGTGACTAGCGACCAGCCTGGTACTACAGTAAAACCTGTAACTAAAGACCACCGTGACTAGCGACCAGCCTGGTACTACGGAGCACTTCGCCAGGCGCGGACGGTCTCACATTCGTATATGCTTGTGCGGTGTAAACCTCTAACTAAGGACCACCTGCCACTAAAGACCGCTTTCTCTGGCCCCAAGGGGTGGTCGTTAGTCACCAGTTTTACTCTACTGTCACCCATACTCTGCATGTACTTGCACGTGTAATTTGCAGTGTACCGTATTCGGCCTGTGGTTGTACGGTGATTCGAGTTGCAACACCTTGCCTCTAAGAGTATTCAAATCGTGCTTCTGCGCAAAAAAGCGTACTTAGAAAATCCGGTTTCTATTTGAGTCATGCTTTAATTAATGCGCGACATTACGGTATGTTTCACTCACCGGACACGGTAATAGTGTTGTTGCCGTGTATGCGTGATTGTGTATGTGTTTTTGCGTGTGTGTTTGTGTGTTTTTGTTTGTGTATGTGTGTTTGTGTGTGTGTGTGTGTGTGTGTGTGTGTGTGTGTGCGTTTTGTGTGTGTATGAATGTGTCCATCTGTCCCTCTGGTCATTGCGAAAACAGGTCGATCAGGACACTGTCTGGCATGAAACCCACACGGGACCTGTAGCACGAATGGTACGTACCTTTATTTGGGAAAACCAAGACTTTTGCTGCAGAATGGCAAAACAAAACGGTATACTAGTAACATAATACCCAAATCCAGTAAAATCACCGATATAAATTGTACCATGCCAATCGACCGGCTATTATTAAAAGTCTCTTGCCAACCCACGGAAGCGGGAAGGTGGTTTCTGACCATTAAATAGTCTGCGAGGAGACAACAATTTTAATTAATAGTACCGCAATAAGGAGGATGAGCTTAAATGTCACTTCAGCTCGTCCTCCTTGTTTTGTTTTGTTTTTTAACGCAGTAATGTACAGGAGTGTGGGAAGTTTATTTAGGTTGGTACGTTCAGACGTCTGCAGTACGGTTCACTCAGTGTACGGTTCACTCAGTGTACGGTTCACTTCAGTGTCTTCAGGCGGTGGCTCCGCTGAACATTTCGAAATTTAGAGTTCAAAACAGTGCTTTGGATTGATTTATGGGGTACCTGGGGGAAAAAAAGTGGTACGGTCCATGCGGTAGTGACCGTAGCATGTCCGACGCCGCTGGCGTACGACTACTACAGCCGACAAGCCAGGATTCCTGACGATAATTATATTCTACGGTAGGGGACATCGAAATCCGTTGAGAAGTCAAGCGGCCTTGCAGCTGTGGGCGCTGCTGGTCCATTTTACTGTCTGCACGTTAACTACAGTACACGCGCCATATTTCCTAGAGTATACGCCGCACTTTGAACGCTCCAAGTCCACCCGAACAAAGGGGGAGCGCGGCTTATACTCTGATAGTCAAACTGACGTTGATAAATAAGGTAGATGTCTGTGCTTCGTGGCAAAATTGGGGTGGGGGGGGGGGGTTATACTCCGGAAAATACGGTGCGCGATAAAAGGACTAAGGGCACCGGCCCCGGTCATCCCATCGGATTTCAATGTCCACGGAAGTAGGTAGCGATTCGATGTACATCAAGAATTTCTGTAGGGGCAGATGAGCCTTGAAGCTCTGGTCCCATCGGTGAACGTAATGATCCTAATAACCTGTTTCAAGATCTACAAGCCTCCGACATCGGTTCACGTATGGCAAGTGCGTAACGTGCTCTGGAAGCAGGCCTGTCTCCGAATCAGCCTCGCGACGTACTATTCGGTGGACGCGCAAGTCTTGTGCAAACCAATTTGTTTCATCCGCTGTCCTGTACTTGCTCGGGCCGAACAATTTCAGCTCTTTGCCGTCTTTGCATTTGTCCCCGGATCAACACCGGGGAAAGCTTTCTGGGAGAAGATAGAAGACTAGTCTGCGAACAGGGACTTCACATTCACAAGAGGATTCCGTAAACAAGCGTTGATCCAGCTCGAGTTGAGACCGACAATGGCGGGTGGTTTCAGCGCCCGGCTCCATAATTTCACAATCGAGTGAAACGTCTGCTCGAAAACATGAGAAGAAGAATCAAGGCTTCCGCCCTAGCAATGGTCGTCTCACCTTCACGAGTGACTAGATCATCTATGTATGTCTACACACCGATATCCTCTAATCGTACATTGCGATCTCCCATTCTAAACAAACACATGCTTACACCCAATGCAGTTGGCATTGGTGCTGGGGAGGGGGCAGCTATTACCAGTTATACACCGTTGGAGTGAGATTCTATGCATGCGCGCAATGCAGTTAGCCTTGCCGGGGTGCAGCTACTACAATATATACACCATTGCAGTGAGAGTCTTACCCGCTACAATATATACACCATTGCAGTGAGAGTCTTACCTGCTACAATATATACACCATTGCAGTGAGAGTCTTACCTGCTACAATATATACACCATTGCAGTGAGAGTCTTACCTGCTACAATATATACACCATTGCAGTGAGAGTCTTACCTGCTACAATATATACACCATTGCAGTGAGAGTCTTACCTGCTACAATATATACACCATTGCAGTGAGAGTCTTACCTGCTACAATATATACACCATTGCAGTGAGAGTCTTACCTGCTACAATATATACACCATTGCAGTGAGAGTCTTACCTGCTACAATATATACACCATTGCAGTGAGAGTCTTACCTGCTACAATATATACACCATTGCAGTGAGAGTCTTACCTGCTACAATATATACACCATTGCAGTGAGAGTCTTACCTACTACAATATATACACCATTGCAGTGAGAGTCTTACCCGCTACTTGGTGTTGTTGTTGCTGTTGGTACTTCTGCTTGGCGCTTCTTTCTCATTCAAATCAACAGCAACAGCACACTGGAGCAGTGTTCAAGTTGGACTGAGTCTGAGATTGCTGGAGAGTGTCTGCGGGTTCATTTCCCAAACACGGAGGCACCCCCCCCCCCTCCTTTGAATCTTGACCGGAGATAAACTGGTCCTTCGTCAGGCTGTCGAGGTCTCCCGCCGCCAACTGGAGCTAGGCTTGCCGGGCCACGGATGTAACAGCTTCACAGAACGTCCCCAGTTGTTCGTCTTTTGCCTGGCGAAGAGCTTGGAACCATGCAGGTCGACGAGCTTGGAAAGCCGCACCATGCAGGTCGACGAGCTTGGAAAGCCGCGCCATGCACGTCGACGCGCTGTGCAGGATCAAATGCGGGCTTGCAGCGCCTGCACTAGTTGTCGGTGTCCTCCATTCCTGGTGGCCGTCGGGAGGGAGGGACTGGTCATACAGCTGGACCTCGCCTTCTAGTGCCAGGCCCAGTAACTGAGTGTGTTGAGCTGCGAGTAGTATGGACGAATTGGGTTCTGGTGCATACGATATGTGC